TAAATATTACTTATTTACTTATTACTTATTATTTTATTAATTATTATTTTATTAATTATAAAAACTTAGTATAAAAAAAAAAAAAAAAAAAAAAAAAAACAATTATATTTAATATAAAATTTTATTATTATTATTATTATTTACAAAATATTACAAAAATATCTTTGGTTCTCTCTTTTCCTTAACCTTCTTCACAACTCCTGGACCTCATCTTCTAAATTTGCAACCTGAACTCATAGCAAATTTCTTTTCATAACTACCTACTTGTAAATAGTACTTTGTTGCCATTCTTGCTAGATCATCTCGAAATTCAGTGAAGTCCTTTTACTTACTTCAGCCTCCAAATTTGCAACTTGATTTTGGAGGAAAGACAAATAACTGGAAATTGCTTGGCTTTTGCTTCAGCGAGGCATCTATAAAGCAAAAAGTTAGAATATATATTCTAAATAATATACTTAAAATGATAAAAAGAAAAATATTGAAAACAGTTAAGCATTGGCCACCATCTAACTGCAAGAAAAAAAAAAGGAATAACAAAAAGGAAATTGTCTACTAAGGCCAAAACAGATTATCTGTCTAGCTCATCCAAATAGATGATCGGCCTTATCCTAAAGTGCTTTAATATTAGGCAAAACAAGCTCATGCCTGAAAAGTATATACACCTTGGCAAAAAACAACAGATAAAAAGGCAAGTTTATCAACAAAAAAGGTTTTTTGACAAGAAAACTAGTAGAAAAAAAAAAAGATAAAAAGTTTTGTAGACCAAAACACAGGAAAAATTGGACAGAATAAATAACAAAAACAGATATAACAGAAAATTAAAATTTTATTAATAGACAAAGAACAATCACAATAAAAATAATGTGATTGCTAAATTTAGAAATAGATGAACTAACCAGATTAAATTTACTAATTTTAGACAAATTAGTAAATAAGATTTGGAGACCTCACTTTTTAAGAGAAGAAAGATACAAAGAACACTATAATTATAAAAATAGAATAGAATAGACATGTAGTGATACAAATTTTGTCCAAATTTTAGAACAAAGAAGTGTTTAACATATATTATAAACAATGTAGCTATAAATAGAATACATGGGGTGTGGTGACCTAGTGAAGTGGTCAGGTTGTCAACTCTCAAGTGGCAGGTCTAGAGTTCAAATCCCATGGACGATGAATTTTGAAAAATAAGATCTGTGTTACAGTAACTGTCTCTGTCGATTGGTTGGATTTGTGTATCTGTAACCTTTGTTACACCATCTCAAATGGGAGCTCGGGGCATCTATGCAAAGTGTAATGTTATACCCACATAGAGGAATGTTAATAACCAGTGTTGCATAAGACTTCGGTGCAAACCCATGATAAGACCACTGGGCATAGAAAGCAAAGGAACCAAAGAGTCAGAAACTCACTTGGAAATCCTGAGTAAAGAGGTAGCATGAACTTTTGACAATACTACCGAACCATCGGAAGCCTCCAAAAAAGGATTACTAGGACCTCAGATGGATTGGATGACAACATGTGTAGAGAAGCATATACCAACCAGGCTACCAGGTTTGCCGGATGGGCCATCTGAATTGGTAGTTTGGGAAGTCTTGTAGGTCTTGTAGGTTCAGAAGTAGAGGTGTAGAAGTTAGGAAAGGAAGGTATTGGGGTCTCTGTGAACTTTACAAGGGTATAGCAGTTTAATAGTTAGCCCTGACTGCAAGTGATGGTCTAGGCCAGAGCAGTACTAGGTCAGCTGTAAGTATAGGATACAAAAGACTCTGGTGGGCTTAGTATAAAGTTAAACATGACTTACTGACCATGGTATATTTGCAGCAATGGCTGCAGTTGATAGGATAGGAGTGGATACAGGAACTAGAATGTTTAAATAGAGAACTCACAGGTGGGTTCTAGGTATGGCAACTAGTGTAGAAACTTAGGGTGGACTACTTAAAATAGACAATGACTAAAGTTGTATAAGTAGCTAGTTGTACACTCTTTCCATAATTGCCTCTGTAGCTGTTGTATACAATAGTTATATGCTGACTGATTATTAATAAACTCCTGGGTCACAATTACTCACCTTAATATTAAAAAAAAAAAAAATAGAATACAAAGAAAAGCATATATTAAACAAATTGAGCTACTATTAAATGTGAAACAATATGAGTTAAATGAAATTAATAAGAGACAGCATGAGTTAAACAAATTACAAATTACTATGCCAAAGATTGCTTGGTATAGAAGTATAAAGAGAATTTTAACAGATATAAAAAGGCCAAAGAAATGCCTTCCTTTAACATTAATTCTCTCTATACTTTAAACTAAACCTCTAATAATCTTAACAACAATGAACCTACTACAGGATCTACCAATATAGGTTATTCTACAAATTTACTACAAAGCCCTTAAGTTACAGGACCTCTGTAAACAGGTTTAATACTTAAGTACTATTATATATGAAGCTAATAGTACTACTTTTATTCTTAATATAGAAACCTTATACATATAGGCTGTGTGCTAAGAAAAGGGACCAAATTGACAAAAAAATTTTTTTGAAAATAATAAATGTTCTGAATCAGATGATCAAATTTACACCTATTTTACTTAAGAACTTTTTTTCAAAAAAAAAATTAATTTGGTCCTTTTTCTTAACACACAGCCTATATTACCAACAACCCATAATGATGATCTGTTGATCAAAATAAAAATGGATCTACTGAAAACAACACCAAACCAGATTTTCTCAGTTACTGTACTAATAACTATTAATACATCATAGAAAAATTGTTATACCAAAATTACTAAGAAATACTGGTTGATTGCATGTCTATCTAACTATAACTGAATATATTGCTTAGTTTACGGTTATTATCTAGGAGTCCTATTATTAGAAAAACCAGATTATAACAAGTCCATAAAGGCAAGTAGAATTAAGGCCTGAACTAGAACTTATTAATTGTTCAAAGCTATTGGCTATAAACAAATATATCAAACAAAAAAACTAACTCTAAAACATATTGGTAATATAAGTAAAGCCAAGTTTAATCAATTAGTTGACTTTTGTAAATGATACAAAAGTCATGAAAATTTTGTAGAACAAAATTCTTAAGGAAAGGAAAATATTACAAAGTAGTTTTTAGCATAGTATATTATATAGTAGTATTAGTAATTATATATATTCATTATTGTATTTTATATTATATTTATTATTAAGTTATTAGTTATTAGTTAGTTAATAGTTATATTATATAGTAAATAGATAAAAGGATTTTAATTGGCTATTAAAAATGTGGTACAGCCATATAACACTGAGTAACATTTGTGATGTTACTATCATTTTACAAACTTCAAATATCTCTGTACAAGTTTTATATATTCTAGCATCAAATTACTATACCAAGTGCTGCAGCACAAGAATCCCAAGTATTCCTGACACAAACTTCAAGTGTCTCTGCATGAACTTCAAGTATTCCTGCACAAATTCCAAGTGCTTTTGCACAGATTCAAGTGTCTAAACACAAGCTCCAAGTGTTTCAAGCATAAATAACAAATGATATAAACAATATCCCTAGTTGTCTTCGCACAATCCCTACTACCCTAAGCACAATATCATTTAATGTTATTTGAACCTCTACTATCCCAAGTACAATGATATTTAATGTTGTTTGAATCCCTATTATCCCAAGTATAGTATCAAGTAATGTTGCTCAAATCTCCACTATTCCTGCTAGGTAAAAAGATATATAAAGGATAGCTTTTACTCTTCCCTGCCAATTCTAAGTTTCTATACTTCAACCTAGATCTTTCTACTTTTACCTCTAACTTGTAAAAGTGATATTTCTTCTCTAGAATAATTCCTACAGGCAAGGTTGTCATTTGTATTTATTTAATAAAAGTTAATCTATATACTGTTACTATCTTGAACTGTTTGCCTGCTACTGTGTAGTAAAGTGAACTACTACACCTTCACCTTGTATATATTTGCAATAGTTAATTACTATACCAAGTAACCTTGTTACTTGGTTGTATTGTACCAAGAAGACTACAACCCGTAACACTATGTTGAATTATAAATTAGAAAAATAAAATAAGATTTTCTAATTTTAATTTTGTAACTAGTGTTACAAATCATTAAAAAATTTTTAATCGATTCTTTGCAACTAATCAATTAATTCTTTAGTCAATTAGTTACAACTAATTGATTAGTTAATTAATCAATTAATTGATTAGTTGGTATCTAAAAAATGTTGTCAACTAACTAACTAATTAATTAATTTCAATTTTGATTTGTATTATTATTTGTAACCCTGTTATTTGATTTTAAAAATCCAATATTTTATTCTATAATCTTTATAAATATAATCACAAAATTTAATTATTATAAATTCTATTTATTTTTTGATAGAAAAATTGAAAAACTACTACTATTTTTTTTTTAAGAACAACATCAGATTAACTAAATCTGAAGAAAGACAAATTCTTTTTGCTGAAATATGAGCACTAGCATCGAAAAATAAGCATTCAAATGAAACTGATGCCACAAGAATAGACAAATACTTATAGGCAAGTTGACTAAGTAGTAGAAAGCTTACACATTTTTTTTTCACTATATTAAAGGGTCTTGGTTTTTAGGAGCAACTTGTTTTCTTAAATATCTTGTTAACTTATTCTCTGTAGTAGTTGGTATATTAGGCATTAAATGCAAATCTTATAATTTAGTACTTAAAGAATCAAAATCTTCTTCTACAGTAGCTTGTGTTCTTTTAGTATTACTTTCATTATTATTAGATTCTAATGCAAATAATTCTGCACAAATTTGGTCTTCTACATTTTTTTTCATTAAGAATAGTAAATAGAAGAAATTTTAACATATGCAAATTTAACAAAAAAGCCTTCAGTTCAATTTTATAAGAAACCTTTTATAATTCATCAAGAGACAAATAAATTGCAGCATGCATTTTTTTTAAAAACCTATTGCAGTTTGTAGAAGATAAATATCTTACTACATTTAAAATTATCTAATTTTTTATCTTATTTATACTTTTTTTTTTGTATTTTTTTACATGATTATAACCATGATCTTGATGATATACATTTTGATATACATGCATATACTGCTATTAATTTCTATTTCTGGCTGATAGTATATTAGCTTCATTATTATTACTAATACTTGTATCACTATTTGCTATTGAATCAGAATTTTCTAATAATAATCTGTAGATGAGATCTAATCAAGCTTCAACTGATTCACTCTTTTCAGCTACTAAAGCATATTTATTTTTTAACATTTGAATATAAAGGTATACAAAATTCCTAGTAAAATATTTTGCATCACAAATATGTCTTATTACTTCTTTAAATAGTTTTTAAAACCTCTATTATTTCTTTTATTAAGTTTTAGAAAAAAAAATTTTATTAAACAAAATATACAATAATACAAATTATTATTATTAAAATTAATAATATTATAGCAAATAATGATTTTATAAATATAAAAACATAAAAAAACTCTTTTTGCTAATCCTTATAACCAAAACCAAAACAGAAAGAAAACTATAAAAATTACAAAAACCAGCAAGTAAAAGCACAGTTGTCAACTAATCAAAGTTAAAGCTTGTTCAAAATTAGATATAGTTTGTTAGAATAGAGACCAAGTTGACAGCAATATAGTACCCACCTTTAATTTTTAGAAAAAATTCTGTTTGTTGTTAAAAATTTTGACAAAAAAAAATAAAAACACAAAAACCCTGTACTGCAGATTATATATATGATACGTAAAACAAGTTAGAGTAAACAGTAAATACAAAAAAACAAAAAAACAAATATGCAATCTTGCAGATAAACAAATAAACACAGATATAAATAGGAAAATATATGTTAAATATATACAGTATAGATATAGAAATAATGCAAAAAAGTGTAACACAAAAAGTTTAACTAGTTTTTACTGAAATTGACTGATGCAAGAAATTAAAAAAGTATTGTGACATGTTTAATAAATTTGACAGAATACAAAAAGAATTACTAGACAGTTATAAATCAAGAGTTTTAAAAAAAGATGAGGAATTGGCCAGACTAGTTAGCACTGAAGCAGTCTTAGTCTGTATATTTAGAAACTTAATTGAAGTATATAATTACTGTGAGTATATATAAGTAAAAGACAGTAAGAAACTAAAGAAGAATAGTATAAAGCAATTAAATAAAGACAAAATGAATAAAGAAGTATTATTAGAGCAAGAATGTAGATGCATGGATTATAGTATGCTAGAAAAGCAAATAGAGAAAAGTTTAGTTAAAAAAGATAAAGAAGAAAAAGGAATTAAACAGAGAAAAATGATCAACAAAAGAACACAACTGATAATATAAAAATAAGTAAAAAGTATAAGACAGACAAAAAAGAAGTAGTTTATAAAGAAAAAAGAAAACCTGAAGGAATTATGAACATTGAACAAATGCAGAAAGAACAAATAGAAAAACAAAGCTACACAGATGAAACAATAAAAATACATGAAGATAGCAAGTTAGAAGACAATGTCTATACAATGTGAGACATTCTAGTAGAAGTAAGACTAGTATATATAAGAAAGTGTCTTCAGTTTTATAATAGAATTAGGTTCATCTAATAGAAAAGTTTTAGTAATAGCAAAGCTGCAACATTTGCTATTGAATTTAGAAATAAGAATAGAAAATCGATACTTGATTAGGCATAATCAGTGCACTTTAAGAAAGGCAAAACTTGTAGAGTTACCTTAGATACTTTTGCCAAAGAGATATTAAAAAGTAGAGCATCATATAAGGCAATAATTAGAAATGTTTCAATAACAGCAATAGAGATACTATTATTAAAACAACTAAAAGCAATAAAGGCAAAAGCAGTTTATATTTCAGTAAACAGAAACAAAAACTAACAAAAAACTGCATCAGTTTACTTTAAAACAGAAGAAGACTTAATAATGGCTACCAATAAGGAGCCATACTATTACAACACTAAATTAAAGTAATGTAATAAAAGAGCATTTAAGAACATTGAAATCAAAAAAAAAGAAAACAAAGATATAAAGAAATATTATATGAATAGAAGTTCACAGTATAGAAAACACTTAAAAAGTCAAAAAAACATTAAAAAGGAAGAGAGTAATAAAGAATATTAGCAAAAAAAAAATAAAAAAGTTGATAGAAAATGCAATAGTAATATGCAAACAAAAGCAGTTTATGCAAAGAAGTCAAAAAGTGAGTTACAAAATATTCTTAGCAGAATATTAAGAAGACTAAATAATATTAAAAAAAGACAATTAGGAGGCTTGCTTCCAAATCGTTTCTGAAAGTTGCTATAGGCATTCTTTAAGAAAAAGTAATTGCTTTGTCAGATATAGAGGTAGAGAGCATCAGTGAGAAGTTTAAACATAATAAGAGCAGATATAACAAAAGTAAGAAGAATATAACAAGTATTAAGATAGCATGTTACAACATAAATAGAATAAGCATAACAAAATCAAACTGAGAACAATAGTCGAATAGGCAAAAGAAGAAGAAGTTGATAATCTGGAATTAGTAAAAACAAATAGCAATAGTAAAGAACTAAAATACAGTTTAGAGGACAATTACTACAAAGGTGTTTGATCACAAAATAAAAGTTTGAAGAAGAAAGGATCAGGTATTAGTTTATTGGTAAGTCAAAAATGGAAGAAACATATAGAAGAAATCTGTAGATTTGAGGAATACTTAATCGAAGCAAAATTCTACTTTAAGCAGATAGAAATAACAATAGTAGTAATATATATTCTTTCAAATAACAAAGAAAAAACAAGAAAATTGCAACAAAAAATAGTAAATATGTATGTGAAGAGAGCAAAAAACTTACAGTTTATAGTAATGAATGATTTTAATTATGTAATAGGCAGCAAGTTAGATAAGATAAGCAGTAGTAAAAATAATTGTAGCAAATCACTTCTATTATATAAATGGCTAATAAGACAGAGATTTGGTGATATATACAGAATCTGCAACCCAAAATTAAAAGGTTACATTTGGGCAGAACAAGACATACAAATGAGAATTGACCAAATATGAGTTTCAGAAGAACTATAATCAGGATTGGAATAGGCAAAAATAATTGATGCAGACTTTATAATGTCAAGTGACCATAACATTGTTAGTACAATATTAATATTCAAATACTTGATCCAAACATGTAGTATAGCAGAAATAAAAAAAAAAGAATTAATAAAAACAATTTATTTATATAATAAGACAATAAAAAAAAATTAGGAAGATTATTAAGTAGATCTCAAAAATTACTTATCTAAGAATAGAAGGCTTAAAGTATTTGAAGAAGTTGGATATAGCATTAATATAGACAAAATGTGAAATATAATATTCTGCACAATAAAAGATGCAATAAATAAAAACATATCAAAAAAGAAGATAATCCAAAGAAATAATAATATTGAAAGAAAGAAGAGAGCAACACTGTTACACAAAGGCATAGTAGCACTGAGTAAGCTACTGCAAAAGACTAAGAAATTGGTTAAAAAAGAAAAAAATGAACTAAACTTAGAAAAAGTCAATATAGAGATTGATAAGATAAATATAGAATATGGCCAAGAAATAGGTTATATAGAAGAAGACAGAACAGCAGATCTTGAAGAATAGTGGCAATTAACAAAAAAGCAGTAGCAAGCATTAAGAATAGTAGAGAAAGTGAAAAAAGACAAGCATACAAGAAATGAAATTAATACTGCAGTAAATAGAAGATACAAGAGAATTGATGAAGAAGTAGAAAGAATGCTTACTAGTATTCTAGACAAACCATTCAACAAAATTAAAATAAATCAAATATTAAAACAAAAAGAAGATGAATACTTATTAATCAGTGAACTAAATGCAGTATTAGAGCAGATAAAAGAACATTTTAGTAAGCAGTTCAAACAGAGAGATGTGGCTAAAGATAAAAAAGTAATAGAAAAGGTTTACAAGCTAATTGCAGAAGTCAGAGAAGAGTGATATTCAGAGTTAAAAGCAAAAATAACAATTGAAGAATGAATGGAGGCAATAGGAGAAACCAAAAATAAAATAACATCAAACATATCGAATATTAGATATACACAGATCAAATAAATAAATAAAATGTAAATAATAGATAAATAACAGAAAAAAAATCTGCTATTATTTTACTTTATATCTGCCAAATAATGGCAGCATAACAGCAGCATAACAGCAGAATAACAGTAAAATAACAGAAGGTTTGTCAATATGAGTAACATAATAATAACATAATAGCAAAATAATAGAACAGTTCCATTATTTTACTTTTAGTCTTTGTAACTAAAAGTAAAATAATAGAACTGTTCTATTATTTTGCTATTATGTTATTATTATATTACTCATATTGGCAAACCTCCTGTTATTTTACTGTTATTCTGCTATTATACTGCTGTTATGCTGCCATTATTTGGCAAATATAAAGTAAAATAATGGCAGACTTTTTTTCTGTTATTTACCTATTGTTATAGAACGAATTATTATTATTTTATTATTATTATTAGTTATTATTTTACTATTTCATTATTATTATTTAGTATTAGTTATTCTATTATTGTATTGTTATTATTAGTAGAAGTTGCCGGAACATTCCGGTTGATTAGTAATCGCTTAGTCACTTAGATGCTTAGACGCTTAGTCACTTAGTCACTTAGTCGCTTAGTCACTTAGTCGCTTAGTAATTAGTCACTTAGTAATCATTAGTTATTAGTTGCTAGAACCTTTCGGTCGCTTAGTAATTACTTAGTCGCTTAGTCACTTAATCGCTTAGTCACTTAATCGCTTAGTCACTTGGCT